CCCCAAAACCCCAAAACCCCAAAACCCCAAAACCCCAAGATCTAGAATTATTATTGCAAGTTAGATTAATTGTCAAGATGATCGTTTATTAGTATATTTTTGAATTTAAATGGCAGAAGACCAAACACTCAATCAGAAAATAAATAAGGTTATCGCAGATATCAAAAGACTTAACGTTGAAAAATCATTAAAGTATGGTTGTACAAGTAGTAATCACTCAAGCTTAAAGCAAATAAAACCGTTTCAAGATACGCATGTATCTTTTTAAAAGCAATAAAGTTCAAAAGACTAATCTTTTAAGAGCGATTCAAGAGACGAGAGTAGTGATCATCTGATTGAGTTCATAAAAAGAGAACGAAAACTAGACTAACAAAGAAATGAAAGCCAGAAATATTTCACTCAATAGTAATCTTAAAACTATCAGTCACATAATAATTATTAACCTACTCCTAAAAATAATCACAATGAGGATGCTTCACTTCTGTAAAGAGAAGATGATTTGTCTTCATTGTTCGATCTTACTTCAGCAAAACAACATTAGTCCAATGTCACTAGAAAAAACTAAGACAGTTCTTTTAGAAATCAACAATAGAAAGCATAGCAGCAATAGCAATATTAGACAAACTCTGGTAGTCAATTCTCACTTACTAAAATGAGGATAGATGATATCCCTGAATTGCAGTCGTAGAACTTTTATTCATTAGCTAAACAGTAAAATTTAGAATAAATAGCTTAAAATAAATATCAGTCATCAAAACAGCTGTACTAAAAGTATGAAAATATCCTTGCAGCCCCAGGTTCAATCATTGTTGATGCTAAAGGTCACTACAAAACCAAAACCTTATATGATGAATTAAAGCACAGCCATACTAATAATAAAGATCTCCCCTTCTCTAGCCAAATAGAGGACTCATCCATTAAAGATATTTAAGTGCAGATCTCTAACCCATCATCATCATAATTGTAATAAGAAAATGAAGAACTGGAAAGACTTAAGAAGATATGCTAGAGGACTGAAAAGCTTTTGTAAAATGAGTAGACTAAGAATAAAGATCTCGAACAAGAATTCTAAAGATAAAATTAAGCTTAGTAAATGATCTAAGATCTGGTAGAACAGCAGGAAATTGCAAATGAGCTTAGGCAAAAGTAGATTCAAAGAATGAGCCAGAAAAATGCATAGCTGCAGAAGAACTTGATAAAGGAGAAATGCTTGAAGGAAAATATTGCGTAGAGAGTAAATGGGTACTCTAACCCAGCCAAGTTAATGAACTATATAAAAATGAAGAAATCGATTGAAAACTCTCAGTTTCAAGATGTAAATTAATATCTGACTCATCTTGAAGCCTTCTCTAAGATTAGCAATAAGCAATCGTAATAAGAAAGAGACTATTAAAGATCTCTTCTTAGTAAAATATCAAGCAAAAATAATGAGAATAACAAAAATCTTTCCAACAGAGATACATTTGCAAGAAAGTCAAATGCATTCTCAAGTAAAGCAGAGTCAAGAGATGATTAAAATAATAGTAGTTTAAAAGATGCCTATATCATAAGTGAAGAGTTGACTTTAAAGTAGAAGTTGGAGAGTCAGAGGAAAGCTTTAAGGGATTTCGCTAATTATTATCAACTAAACAGTAATTGAGGAATTCTTGTTCAGATAAAATTATAAAATGACTAACTATATACATATTAATTTGACTTAATACAATATTAGTGACTAATTAATTATAAAATTATTAAAATAATGAGTTAAAAGGCAGGCAAGCCATAAAGAAAGGTATCATAGTCACATTCTGAGCCATCAAGCAAGCCAAAAAGTAGGAAAGTATTAGGGATTGAGGAGTCTAAAGCCCTTATGATAGCCCTCTTTATTATGATCTTTCTACTTGTAATAGCTTACACCAAGATTGATGATGAAAAAGCGTAAGTCACTAAATATTAGTGAAATTGGAATCATATTGTCTAACTATTATTTAAATAGCAAGAAAATGACAATATTTCAGGGGTCAGTTACCATTTCAACTATTGCTCTCACAATGTGGAATGAGAATGAGAAAAAGAAGGCTGCTTCGAAATAATAATGATGATAAGGATCGTAATGATACAAATAGATTTAATGTTTTCAGTTTTCTCAAATTCCATATTAATCTACCCTATAGGGGTTTTGGGGTTTTGGGGTTTTGGGG